CCCCCCACCCTTTATTTTCTGGAAAGCAGGATCAGCAAAAGTCATCATTCACCTCAACTCTGTCAAGTGAAGCATCTTGCTCTCTCTCCTCTCCTGAAAGCACTTTCAACTCCCAAGAATCATCATCTTCCTTGACATCCAAAGTGGTTTATTCCGAGAGGCAGTCCTGGCTTGACCTGGTGAACAGCTCTGCCACAGAAGAGGGTGACCAGCCTTTAACGTTCTGTGTACAGATTCACTCTGATGAGCCGCCAGGAGTGGTCTGTGGAGATGCAGCAGAAAGCCAGGAAGTCCAGCTTTCTGAATCCAATGGTGAATCCCAAACCTCTTACTTGAGTGTAGATACACATTGTCTAACTGTGCCAGATGCAACAGGACAGCAACCACTAGCCAAAGGTGAGCTAATGAGAGAGATTTTTGTTGCAGAGCCACATAATATAAAAGTTATGGGTTTCCTTAACTTCCTTTCCCCTTCCTTCCTCTATATTCTTCACTGAAGAGTTTTCCAATGGTACATCATTTATAGCATTTAATTTATTGCACATTTAATATATAACCTAGTGTCTGGTTGGTAGGTAACTTTACAGGTTTTCTCAAATGGTATCTATTTGTTAGATCATAACCTCTGTATATAAATTTAGCATAGACATAATTTTATTAACAGTCTTTATTTCAATGTAGATATGTTTTATTAGTTAGGATTGAATTGAAATATTAACAAAGTGTGTCACAGAATGGACACTGTAACAAAACTGTAATATGTAGGGAATGGTGAACATGGGGTTAAGTCAATCCAATTTTACAAATATGTGCCGTTGCATTTACTCGAAGTACATACTCCCTATTTGCTTCATTAAGCTTCATTGCAATCAAGGGAAAACAGCTGAAATCCTGAATCAGAAAGTCTATTAAGACTGGATTTTGTTTAATCAAATAGGTATCTGCACAGTATCCTCCTACTGAAATGTACTGCTAATTGAAAGGTGGCATGGCTCCAGAATTCAGTCATTGTTACTGTTTGTAATTCTCCTGCATGGTGAGGAAATACCTCTTGCCTTTTGAGCAAAGCTTCTTCTTTCTGAATTAAAACAGCTGAATCCTAAGAGCTGTTCCTGGCACACAATTATTCTGTGTACAGAGGTAATATATAAGGGAATAACAACATTCCTCTGCCTCATCTCCTCCCATGATTCCAAATCCTTGTAACAATTTGAAGTGAGTACTTTGTTGCTGAAATAGAAAGGTTGTCTCAGCACAATGCAAAAGAAGGGTGCATCTAAGAGTTTAGGCTGAAAGCATTGAAGTGGTAGAAAGAAACAGCACTGGAGTTGCTGGGAACTCAGGGTACTTCTCTGTAGGTGAACTTGACGCTGGAAGATGACACTATGAGGCGCATTAGTTACCTTGTCAATCTCCTTATGTTTTACAAATAGCAAGCCTTAGAAAGCTGTCACCCCTTTATGTTGTTGTACCTTTTCTGATTTTACACAAAAAAAAGGACATCAAGAAAAGAAAAGTTTTCATCAAAAGTGACAATTAACTCATAGTTATTTATGTCCAGTTTATGTTCACCTACCTTATCCATTTTGTAGGCTTCTCTGCTAGAAAATTCTGCAGCAATGAAGAGCAGAAAGAATTAAAATCCAGAGTGAGCATATATGCTGTTTCTATGTATTGGAATAGAGTGCTGTGTTTTGAGTCACTGTGGAATTGAATTCCCCTAATTCTGGGTTTGCAAGTTGTGAAAAGGCTAGGGCTGGCAGAAATGGAGTCCCTAATGAAAATGTCACAAAGACATATTGAATACGTCTTTACAGAATTGTTTTTTGTAATTTTACCTTCTGGGTTAAATTTGATAAAGTAATGTCATTGGAAAACATTACTGGAGACATTCAAGAGGATTGTTGGAATGTAGATCATAAATGGCATAGTGGCTTGTATCTGTTGACAAAGATTCAGTGTTTGCTCTTCAGAAATCTAAACTTTTGCTTAGAATACTGTCTGAAACTGTCAGAAATCCTGCAATAATGCGTAGGTTACTGCTTTCCATTGTAATGTAAGGGTGACAAATACTTTTATGGATGTCATAGAATTAGCATGACACATTCATAATCACTTAAAGTATAGTTTGATAGGCTCAATCATACTAACTAATAAAATGGGATTACAATGTAAATCAAGGCACATTTTGGTACACCCCTGCAGTGTGCAAGATGGTTTAATTTTGATAAGCTTATTCTTATCAATGAATTCTTCTGTTGCTCACTGCTTAGCTGATGAGCAACCCTAATGGCAGAACACAGAGCACTTCCATCCTAATGATCACAGCGGTGATCATTGACAGAATCCCAGAATTAGACAATTTCACCAAGACAGTCACTATGGAAACTGTACAACCTCACCAGTTCTTGTCTGCATCATAACCCATTGCTGAACAAGTAAAGCATACACCATACAGAAAGACAGGTTTGTCTTTCCTTTATCAGTTTGCATATTATGGGCTGGGTGTGGAGAGTGCTGCTGTGTGGTCACCGAAAATATTAAGGAAATATTTTGCAAGGAGATTAAGCTACTTCAATTTAATAATGAGGTAGGAAAAGAAGGATTAATAATAACTAATAATTCAGCTCTTCATGAAAGTCATCAAAAAGGATACAATTCTGTTTCTGTGGCTTATCCCTCAAGAATTTCCCTCTCCAGCTAGTTGGTAAGCATGTTCACAAATACTGTGAGATCAATTCAAGTTGTTGGGTAAAATCTAGCTGCAAATTCTCCTGATTTGCAAAAAACTGGTAAGAACACCCTTGTTATCTGATGCAAAACAAGAAGGCATACCTCAGTACAGTCAGTATTATTTGCTTTAGAGTGCTTCTGAATAGTGCATATCTGACATGTTTCAGAGTCCTGAGACTGCATCCAGAAGGAGACAAGTCTGTCTTTTGTCAACACTTGTCCTGAAAGCACATGTTCCCTGTGTATAAAGATGGCCCTGCTGTCATCAGAACAGTTATGTTTTTTGATAGATTTTGGTCCCAGTCCCCCACAGAACCTACAGACGTGTCTGTGCTCTCTCTTTCACCTGGTAAGAATTAAAAAAAACAACCCTGCCACGCTGTTTTCTGACCACATTTTTCAAAGTAAAACCACAAGTTGAGTTTTTGGTTGTAGCTGATAAGAGCTTTGAGTTGAGGTGAAAATTATCTAGAACTGAAGAGCACTCTTGCTGGACAAAGTCTAGAAATGGAGACCAAGCTGAGAAAAGTTGGTACCTAGAAGGAAGAAAGAGTAGCTGTGGTTTTGTGGGAAGAGCTTACAATGAAAAAGTACAGAAACAGTGAAGAAACCTTAGTGATGAGTAAAACAATGGAAGAAACATTTTTAAGAAATAAATGGATTTTATTTTGTACCTCATAAGAAAATCTGCAGATTCAACTAAATTATGATCGATTATTTTTTCAACAGAAATTATTTAATGAACTCTGCTAAGAAACTGTGAGAATCTGGTGCAAGGAGCCATATCATGATATTTTTAACAATCTTTCCAACCATTCTCAGTGGTGTTATGAACATTGTGAACATTAATTCTCTGCACCAGTCACCAGGGAGATGTTACATACCAAAGAGTGATACAAAGAAGGGGAGTTTATCAGTTTTCTCTTTTGAAATGAGACCAACATTATGCATTCATTTACTTTTTGGGACTATCTAAGACTTTGGTGATGCAGCTTGCTACATGCACAGTGACAAAAGATTCTAAGCTGCCTGTGAAGCAAAGAAACTGAAAGGTAAACAAGAAGCAGCTGAGAGTACAAACAGCTGTCTGACTACGTGCACTGTATCCAGAAGCTGGCCTTGTCCACTCCAGGATGGCTAGACACGCTCTCCAGCCAAACTCCATCCTTTGTATTTTTTCTGGCAACTACTGGAAGAAAAAGTATATGACTCTGACACACCACCACTATGATCAAAACCCGTAACAGCTAAAGGAAGCCACAGGAACTGAGAGGTTATATAAGAAAATAAGAGTGTGTGTTTCTATTTATTTAGGTGTCTGCTACTATAGCAGTAAGATCCTTCTTCCTTGCATTTTCTGAGGGTTTCATGATCATATGAAATTAGTACATCTTGGCAAGGCATTCTTATTTTACCACTTCTGGTTTATTTTACCTTAGCTCACAGTAGCTGTGGAAGATGTTGAATGTGCTGGTACTTTCAAACCTGGACAGCTTTTCAAATATGTCTTGGATTTTATCTAGGTTGGTTTAGTGGGAAGGAGTTGGTTAAATAGGAGCTGGATCCATTCAATTCCTTCTGTTCTCACTACTGACATCCTCTTCCTCTCTGGAGTCTGCCTGTGCCAGTAATAGCCAGAACAGATCCTCTGGTGTGCTCTGGCCCCTTTGTTCCCTCTGCAAAAGTCATAGCAAATACTTAGATCATGGCTGAGACTAGCTGAGAAATGTGCCTGTGGTGAGAATAACTGTGTAGAAAAACAACTTGAATAATTATTCTGTTTCTCATCAAAAAAGCTTTAGAAATCACAGTGAAAACTATGATGTTATGGTTTTTTGAACCCTCTGAAAAAGAGATACTTATTTATGTTGTTTCCAGTTCAGTCAGTTTATTAAAATTCTGCCCCTCACTGCTGAGTCCACTATACTGTCAGACAACAGCATCTAATTGTTTCTGATAACATAGTTTTCCATTATTTTCTTCCAGTCTTTCTTCCCTTAGTTCTGCATTTGCCAGTGAGGAGTTTGCCTGAGTTAAACTCATCTAATTGAATTTTTTTTCTGTATTTTCTATTCCATAATTATGTGGGAAATGTGATTTCCCTGAGGTGACTTCATATTCCCATTGGAAAGTATACTACCACTATGGAGAAGGGCTAGGGGGGTGGATTGGTAGGTAAAGGCAAAAATAATTTATGACTTTTTTCCCTCTACTCTCCCAGCCTTAGGTGTATGTGTTCTCTACCACTGGCATCAAAAATGTTAGCAGAATCAGAAATAAAAGTGCTGGCAAAGCCACAAGAAGCTCGTAAGAGTAGCAAGTACAGGAGGAAGAAGCAGAATATTTTTTCCCTGGGATTAATACACAACTGGGGGTCTGTGAGATCTCAGTTACAGAATGGGAGAACAAATATTTACATTTCAGATAAATTTAGTCAGACATGTTCTGTTGGAGGTGGTTTTCCATGCAAAATGCTCCTTCTGCCAAACATTTCCAATTCCTATATCTTTACCACTGGGAAACAAACAACTTTATTTTTCGCGGCTGCTTTTTGAAAGTTCTAGAAAATTTCGCTTACATAGGCCTAAAAAGCATTAAAGTGAGATTTCAGACAAGCTTCTGTACTGATGCTCCAAGATGAGGAGACTCAATATCTTAGTGTTAATATCTGTCTCCAGCTTGTGGCAAGTTGACTGACAGCAGAGTGGAAGCAGAAAATTGAGGAGGTGAAGAACAGGCATGTTGACCCTCTGGGAGTTTGTTCCTGTCTGTGATACCTCCTTTTAGAGGAAATTCCAGATAAATGGCATCAAGCCTCAGAATTGCGTTTTAGTTCTCCTAAATCAGAATTTTTCAGTTCTTCCAATACCTCTCCCCCTTTCAGATTTACAGCATTAATCTAGTGCATTCAGTGACAGCTTCAAGCCTGCAAAATGTGGGCTTTTTCTTTCTGACCTTGGCTCAGGGGTACTCAGGTACACAGAAGGTAAAATTCCAGATAGATAACAGTCTGGCCTCAGTTTATAGGGGTTTGTTGGCAGACATATGCTTCGTCACCAGCAGCACTGTCCTACACAAACACACAATATTAGGATACTCTTTGATCTGTAGTTGAAATTCATCAAAGATGGAGACAAAAGTGCTTTGTAACCCGTACTCCACAACCTGTAGGTTCCACTCACCCTTGTTTTCCAGCAGCTTGCTAAATTTCCATTTAGTTGCTTTATTACAACTTCCTTTATCCACCTGATATGAAGAATCTGACATGTTCCTTTCCCTTTGAAATTACCTGACCCTGATTAATCTCTTGGAGGATGAGAAGGGTGGAAGAATAAGAAACAGGAAAGGACTTTCTAGTAGAAGTCTTGAAAGTCTGCAGGAGCTGAGTACACTTTGCTGGGCAAGTGCATCATCTGGGAGCCTTCTCCTGGGTTTTTCTGACTTTGGCTTCATCTTTTCTGTGCTGAGTCTCACTGTGCTCCTTAGAGTTTCCCACGAGTGCATGGAAGTTATCAGAATATTTAGCCTGGAAGAAGAGTGTTCACTGAGGGTGTTTTCTCAGGCTTGCTGCTTTGTAACCCTTTTAGGGCACTGAGGAAAGTCATGAGTTAGCCTCAAAAGGTGTCTGGAGCAGGGACCTTAAGTGCCCTGTGGGTTGACTTTATCTAAAAGTTGCTGAACAGGATTGAAGCAACTTTTTTTTTTTCTTCATACATCGTCTTTTTTGGATAGCTGATAAAAATCAATTTATTTGTCACAGTATTACTATGCACAGTCGTGGTGGGTGATGTCTACAGCATAGTTGAGCCAGTCCTGTGCAGAAGCTGGCTAATGAAACAAGCAGCTGCTTTATCCCAAGAAAGCAGGCAGGAAACTAGTTATTATGAGCCTCATGGCATGTGCCAACAGCTTTCAGGAAATACTACTGCTGTGTATTATGCCTTACACTTCCATTTTTTTTTCTGTTTCCTGCAGCTTGTTAAATATACAACAGTTCTTCTTTTCCTCCTCCAGCAATGTACCAGTGTTGGAAGTTATATTTATTTTTTTGTTAAGTTACAGTAGGCTTTTTATAATCCCACAGTAGTGAAGAATAGGCCAGAAACACGGTGAAGGCAAATATTTGCAGCATATCATAAACCTTTTTCGTAACCTAAATATTTAGAAAGAACAGAGATGTAGGAGGATGCTGTTCTTTATAAAACATGGAAAAGATAAGAAGCAGCCTCCATAGCATGCTGACATATTGCAGAAGTCTTTTTGCAGCAGCATGACTGAGCAGAAGGACTTGTTCCTTTTGTTCAGAATTTATTTGCTGACTGCAGATGATTTAGAAAAGTAAATGTTTACTTTAAGAGAAAAAAGTGCCCAGCCAGTTCAACGGGAATAGGAAGGACTGCAGCTGAGAAGGACTAACACCAATACTGCCAGTGATACACTTGGTTAAGTGTTACCCAAAGTGGATCTTGAGGGATTCATTAGCACCCTGAAAACAGCAATAGCTAAGGAAAGTCCAAAGACTTTCCTTTAGAGCTCACTGAAGCCGTGGGGACTGATGGACAAGAAGTGAGTTGCGCAGTCTGTTGCTAAAATTGGCTTTCTGCTAAAACACCCCTACATATGCCCAGCACATTTTCGGTTTCAGTCTGTTCATTTTTAAGTTGTTTTATTCTGAGAAATGCCTTTGCTTCAATTTTCATTTTATTTTATGCTATTCTCAGCTGTTTACTCACTCTTCCTTTCACGGGCTCTCTGCCTTGGAAATGGTCCTGCAGCTTGGGAGCCATCAGAATAATTAAGGTGGAGATAATCAAGGCTTTGTTGTGAGGCCTTCCTTACAAGAAAATTCTCTGCTGCAGTCTGTGAAACTCAGGGGCAAGACACTGGATGCCCCAAGGGTTCTTGCTTTAATCTGTTTTCTAGGGACCTTCTCTTGGGGCCCCTGAAATCTTTTTATGTTTCTTTTAATTGCTCATTTTTAAAAAAACTTCATTTTCAATGATTACCAAAAACCTGGTGATGAATCAGTAGACCAAAGAGAATTTGCCCTGTGAGTTAGAAGCATACCTGTGAGATAGAAGCAAAATTCACTGTGTGCAGCATGCAGGGAAGGGTGAATGGATATAGATGTGATCAGAGTTGTTTCATTCAAACATAGAGCTACTGACAGTTGTTCAAAGTCTGTGATATATTCAGAGCATTAAAGCAGCACTCCATGCATGGAGATACAGGCTCACATCTGTTTGGATCATAACCTGATTCTTAACAATATTGTGAGTTTGGAAGTATGTCTTTCTCTTAGGCATTATTAGCCTATAAATTACCCTAATTGCCCTTAGTTTTAACTCTAATGCCATTATTTTCTGAGTTGATTGACAGTCTTCCTGATGGCTGAACATACCTTTTCTGTTATCTGCTGTCACATTCATGCTCTCATACCCAGTTTATTTTTTTCTTTGCAGACCAGGAAAAATGTGATGATGATGATGAGATGGAGAGGCTTTACAAGTCACTGGAGCAAGCAAGCCTGTCTCCCATTGGGGATCGTCGACTGTCAACCAAGAAGGAGCTTCGGAAGTCATTTATCAAGCGCAGCAAAAACCCCTCCATTAATGAGAAACTCCACAAAATTCGAATGCTGAACAGCACATTAAAGGTGAGTTTGCAGATCTTGCCAAGGGAAAAGAGAGTAAAAAGCAGTTTGGCTGAAAAAGAAACAGTATAGACTTCAGCCAAACTCTAATTACATATTTACTGAAAACCCCAAGGAATTTTGTTAAGTTTTTTAATTTATTTTTTTTCTGCTTCATTGTGAATACTGATCTGCATTATGATGTTCAGTTTGAACTGGAAGCAGAGGCTATGGCTCAGGAGGGACTCTTCTTGCAGAAGTTCCAGCCCATTTGGAAAATTTAATAAAGAAAACTCTTAGTTAACTGGAAAACTTGCAAGCTCAGCTAAATGCAATAAACAGGGGAGCCTTAAAAAAGGAAGAGCAGACAAAGTACATTGATGATAAAGGACATGAAAATGACCCTGAGCCAAAAAAGGTTTTCCTTATGTGATTATCAGAGAATGTACAGGATGTGCCAAAGCTATTGTAAAGACCTCCTGTAACTAAAATATTTTTAATAACAAAAGCATCCTGCTTTTATGTTGGAAATGTATCACGAACTGGAGGGGTGCAGGGGTTCAGGAGATGTTCCGTGAAAGAGACGGTAAATCTGTGTGGAATATGGGAATTTACGAAGTGGTTTACTTGCCAGCATCAAGTGTCATGGGATTTCAAAGCCTGCTTCTGAATGGTACTGCGGGAAACAAAAAGCTTAACCATAGCATTTATATTGTAAGGAGGAGAAAGAATAAATGCAAACTTGGGGCTTCACTTGTTTCTTTTTATATGCATTAGAAGCAGGAATTGAGTATCTTGTTTCAAATGGATGTGTTTGGCTTCAGGCACTGTAAGCTGGAGAAATTCATGCAAAATGGTTGGATTTGATGATCTTAGAGGTCTTTTCCAACCTTAGCAGTTTTATGATTCTAAAAACTTATCCTGTCAGCACAATCATTGGTTTGATTTTTAGTTGCAATGGGATTTTTGGGTTTGGTACCTCAGTCTGTATTGAAAATCCTGAAAAATACAATTGTAAAGGGAAATGGGAAGAGAGGCAATCTTCTTGGCTCCATATGAGACCTGATGAAGTCTCTTCTTAGTACCAAAGAGTTTTCAGTGATGTGGCAGTGACTACAGAAGTACTCATTTGCATCATCAATAAAGTGAGCCCCCCACACAGCAGAAAGCTAGTTTAAAAAGTATGTCCGTTTTATAGGACAGAAAACTATGTACAGAAACATTCTGCAAGGATTTCCCTGACAGGAGCCTCACTAATAAATCTAAGAACCAGGTAGTGCAAAATGGAGTTGTGCTTTGTGTGACAGTCACTTTCATTAGTATGGGGTTGAATGGAAGCCTTAATGTCAGACACAAGCAAGGTGGTTTTACATTGATGGTGACAGTGAACTGATTTAGCATGGGAGTATTATAAGAGTTGCAGTTAACTTAGGCTTGTCTAACTCTTTTATTAATACAGAAAAATTAGTTTTGGAGTGTTCATCTCTTTGGAGTTTTTTTTGGTGGTTTTTTTTTTTTTTCTTTCTTCAAACTAAGAAACTGGAGCATTGACAAGACAAATAAAAAAGCACAGGCACTTCTTCATAATCACAGTTCTGTACACAGCAGTGTTTAAGTTAGCCTGTCTGAAAGTCAAGTCCCTACAGGAGGAAAGTGCCATATTCTTTACATCAGTGGAATTATGAGCTTTTAAAGTCAATTTTCTTAATGTATAATATAAGACATAAGATAATTGGAACTTATCTACTGGAAATTTAAAAACCAGGAGTTTTTTGCTTCTGATCCATATGTACTCTGCTTTAATTAAAACCCTATTAGTTTGAGAAGTGATTTATGCAAGTCTCAATGCAATTTTAATTTTAGACTTTTGACTCCACATATTTAACAACAGATTAATGTTGCTGCCACAATTTATCATTAACAAAACATGCTTTGAATACTTTAGAAGAGAGGGAAGCTATGTGTAAGTGCATCACAGTTTTAGTGAATGTAGGAAATAGTTTTAGTGCTACAGGAGAAATTCCATGGCATGACTTTTTGCTGCCAAGTTTGTCCAATAGAAATACTCCTCTCCCTTCCATCTCCTTATCTCCTCTCTTCCTCTCTTAAGCTAACTGCACATATCCCTGCATCAATGCCAGAAGTCTCCTTAAAAGGGCTGGCACTGTGTCTTGAGGGTAGGATGTGTGTAAAATACAGTTGAACAAGCTTTTGGGTTTAAAAAGCAGATAAAGAATCACAGAGACTGGAGCAGTTGAAGCTTCATTAGAGTCTAAGTGGGATATGGGTGTATAAACAGCTGATTACTGCTATCAGAAGGTGAAAGGAATGTGTGGGAGTACTTTTAGGGTGTTTTCAAGGCAGCCACCAGCACAGGATGTCCTTGGGTGTGATGAATGGGTGTCAGCAGGAGAAGATGGCTACAACTATTCTATCGCTTTCCCACAGACTGGAAGGAGGGAGCCTGGAAAAAGTAGTCAAGTTTTGTTAGTGCAGCATGGTGCTTCCTTAAGAAACCATCCCTGCTCACTGACGCTTCGCTATCCTGTGGTCCATTGCATGGATAGGCAATATGGACTGGAAAAGCAAAGTAGTTTGTTATGCCACAACATGTGAGGACATCAAAGAATATCAGTGTGTGAAAGGAGAGTGCAATGAACACAGAGCCAGGCTATTTTCAATGGTGTTCAGTGACCACGACCAGAAGTGATGGGTTCAAACTGAAACACAGAAGGTGACCAAGCACAGGTTGTCCAGAGAAGCTGTTGAGTCTCTATCCTTGGAGATATTCAAGTCATCTGCACACAGTTCTAGGCTGTTTTCAGTAGGTGGCTCTGCCCGAGGAAGGGTTTTGTATCAAAAGACTTCCAGATGTCCCTGCAAAGCTCAACCATTCTGTCGTTCTGTGACAAACTCAGTGTCCCTGCATCCGTCACTGCTCACATCTTACAAGTGAACCAGGGTGCCTGCAACAAATGGTTTGAGCTGCTCTCGCCTAAAAGTAGATACTTGATTTATTATCAGTAGCTGGTGGTAGATGGCAGCCACATGTACTGTAGCCACTCTACTGCCAGTGCACAAATTATATCCAAAATTATGTTCAGTCCAGCTCCCAGAGAAGAGACATTTATTACATGGAATAAGTGTTTTTTTGAGAAAGTTAGAACTGAAATAATTACAGAATATTACAGAAGTAAATGTTGTTGTGTCTAGCTTCATGCAAGTACTGTCTTGTTGAGAGAGCATAATAATGTGCAAATTTCACATTCTCTCATCAAGTTTTGTTAAGAAGCCTATTAAAAAAATCTAGATGAAATCATAACTTACCTTTAACTGGGAAGATTTTTTGCTGTTAAACATAACTTTGATGACCTATGCCCTAAAAATGGGAACAAGCTGCCAGGAGGATGGGTAATTGGATGTCTCCTTGTGACATGACTCTATTTTTCTCAGACTTTTTGTTAGGGACAATTGTATCAACATTTTCAGTGGAAATAACCCCTTGTTCTCTTCCTAGTGTAAGGAGCATGACCTGGCCACAATTAACCAGTTGCTAGAGGACCCAAAGCTGACAGCAGTGAAGTACAGAGAGTGGAGGAGCACAAACATCATGCTGGTCCAAGATATTTATCAGCAGCAGGAGGTCCAGGACACATCCACCGAGAATAGTGAGGAGCAAGAGATGACTCCACAGCCAATCACTGAAAGTGCTATTTGATCAGTGGCACATGGCAAGATTGTTCTCCACGGGTCTCCATGAACAAGCAATTTAAGCTGCTGTATCTTGAGGCTGGTTTTTTGCAAGTGTGCTTCGAAAGGAAAACAACCCATTCTCTAAAGTTTTGAATGCTCTTGCAGAACTTACTGAATGTCAAAAGGGCAAGTTTCCCAAACCTGCCCAAGTTCCCCAAAAAAGCACTCCTGAACGTGGCCTGCATGTGTAAGAAGAGTATTTAACAAAGCAGCAAAGAATGGTTTTTCAGTTTTTGGAGAAGAAAAATTTTAAGTGTCCAGCTCCTGGAGGACACAGAACTATGTAACATGTCCTGTATAAATATGAGATCCTTGGGATTGTTTTAAGCATACAAGTTACCTTGAAATGAAGCTAAACTACAGGATGTAGTCTACCTTTTTACCTTCTAAAAGGTAAAACCTTAACCCCATGTATACATTTTCATCTCTGTACCCATTTCCTTTCACCACTCTACCAGTTTAAACTGGGTCAAATGGAAGAGTAATAATGCATGAGTTGATACTGTAGACAGCTGCCAGGCACCCAGTTTGGGCTCTGCCTGATGTTTTATGAGTTTCAAATTTATATACAGTCCAGACCAAGAAGGTACTGTCTTTCTACATGAAGAAGAGGTCTCTCAGTTTTTGCTAACATGTAATTTACTCTTCAGTGAGACAAGTTTCAACTTTTCTTATGGACTTGGCAGAATTCCTTGGAAGATTATGTTCTTCTTTCTTATTGTTGACAGATGGGAGTATATAAGGTACAAGTTCATCCCAGAGTCCAGCTTAAGGAAGGTGATCATATTCACAAGGCAGAAGCTAATCAACTAAACTCCTAATGTGGATTTGGAAGTGTAAAACAAAGCTGCAAATATTTTTGTAAATATATGTGATTTTATGGCTTATATGAATGTGACTATGTACTGTATAGATGTTTTATTTATATATTTATATATGCTGAATTTCCTAATATAAATAGGCATATGTGGACCAAACGCACTCAGCTGTGAGTGCTTACAGGTTGACTTGAAATGCCTCTTTATTTTGTGTTCCATTGTAGATCACAGTAGTGGCTCTGCAGGTGAAACTACCCTGAGGCATCTGCTGTGACTCTTCTGCTTTTCCAGCTTTGAGTTTTAGATGAAGAAAATCTGTACAACTTAGGGCCTGAAAAAAGCTTTCTAGAAAGTTTCAAGATTTCCCTTTCGGGAAAAAAATAAGAGGTTTTGCTGCAGGATCATGATTTTTTGGCTTAATTGCTCTCAGTACAAGGTTTTGGGGTTTTGTCTTCCCCTCTTCTGCAGTATAAGAAACTTTTCAGAGAGCCCAGTTTTGAAAAGCAAGAATTAGTTCACCATTCCCAAATTAATGCCACTACATGAACTGTGACAATCTGCACTTCTGTTGCTATTTCATAAAGATATTCTTTGTCATTAGTTTTCAATGCAGTTTGTCTTTTAAAGCAAAATACACTGTAGAGATGCAGCCATATTCATCTGTCTTTATACATTTTATGTTTTATCATAGCTTGATTGAGAAAACAAAAGATAATGGTGTTAGTGGGAGCATATGAAATCTTTTCCACCAGCGTAGTAATTAGTTTGACTGTTGACGTTGTGTTTTTAATACTCAGCAGCTTTTATTTTAAAATAGAGGCAAGGAAATAGATGAAAAATTACTAAATGGGGAATCAGACATGAAACTCTGGTTGGTTAAAAAGCCATTCTTTTCAGGAAATCATCATATGAGCAGTGATTTCCTCACTTCACTAATTATAACTAGAAGTTAAGCAAGCTTAATACCTGGTGCAATTTGGAGTAATTGCATTTTTTTTTGTTTTTTTCATAGTTCTTCCACCATTCCCATTGAAATGCTGTCAATTAATTTCTGAGAGCACCCTGAAAATCAGGAGTGTAGGGATTAACCTGCTCGGTCCATTTCATTTTTAACTACCTGGTGCTAAGTAACTGATAAATATTTGAGGTCAAATTGCATGTACATTTTCTATCACACATGCAAGTTTCTCATGAAACAAAGCATGTAAACACCATTTTCCTTCAAAAGCATCTTCACTTAGATGCTGAAAAGAAGAACATACTTAAGTGTTCTGGGCAAAGTCTGAGCCAACTCCATTTACTGAAGTAGATTTGCAGTATACAAAGAAAAGCCTATGTGGCCTGTACATGCTGTGCTGGCTCTTTTCACACTCACACACTTGTATAAGCATAAAACAGCTTTCCCAGTTCTAGGGACAAAGTGATGGCCTTGGACTGCCCAAACTCTGCTACAGGTTCTGACAGATTACATGGCCTAAAATTGCTTTTGAATTACTCTCCTTCAGATGGTCAGTAGATACTTATTGTTGGACTATTGAGGTTTTGGACACCTGCTGAGACTGGCCTCTACTTCCGCTTGGAAAAGAACAGAATATTCATGAATGGGGTTACTTCAATCCCAGTTATAATTTTAACAAATTTCAATTTGTTAAACAAATTTTGTTCAGGAAAACAAAAGTATGGGTTTTATGCAAATCCTGTGCAGGAAGTCTAACTCCACTCTCCTCAGCTACTATTTAGACTCAAAATAATGGAAAGCATGGAAAATGGGAAGTGAAAATTGCAGTGAAACAGGATTAATTTTCTGGCATTGCTAATTACTGTGACAGTTTTGCCTGGGTTTATCACAGGGGGCTGCCCAGCAGCGTGAAAGCCATAATCAGAGACAGAATTACGCACAAGCTGACAGCTACAGCGGGGAGCCACCTCAACAGGAGAAATCTGGACAAACCTGCGCTCTGCTCAGTGATGCTTGGAGTAACTGGTATCTCTTGGTCTGGATTTGGAAGACCTGCACTATTGACTCATAGCACAGGGAGCTGTGCATCCCTAGTGTGTGAAAATCAAGAAGTCTTTAACCATCTGCCTCAAGGGACATGTTTTATATACTTTTTTGGGAGAAAGTATGTGTGTGTGGATATGTGCACATGCACAATTTTTCCTATGTCAGTAAAGCCAGTTGGTGCAGCAAGTCCAGCAATGGAGATTTTGGAATTTCTGGTAACAATATCTAATTTTAACTGTTTCTGCAGCTTTTCTGGAAATCAAATCTCTCTGTTCTGGTGATGTACATCTCATGAGACACCAGAATGAGGTGGGATCACATTTCCTTTCCTATGATGGAAGAGACCATGTGGGGATTGTGAATCATTTTTACATGGAGCTCTGATGATTCAGTCAGTACTAGGGTTTCACCTTGTCATGGTTTTTAAGTGCAGCTGGAGATGAAACACCATGGAGTTGCTTCCCCCTCTCTTTTCCTTCCCCATCCCTGTGTAATGGGGAGCAGAATCGAAGTAAAACTTATATGCTGAGACAAGAACTGTTTTATAATTTAAAATCAAGTAAAATACAGCAACAATGGTAAATGATAATGATAATAAAAAGGAAAGAAACCCAAACAAGTGATGTACAATGCATTTGCTTGCCACACACTGACCTGTCAGGCCCCATTTCCCAAACCCAGACCAGGTCCCCCTTCCAGGTAGCTCCCCCTGGTTTTGGATATTCCATATTCCTGTGGTATGGAATATCCCTTTGGTCAGTTTGAGTCACCTGTCCCAGCTATGCTCCCTGCCAGTTTGGTTTTGTGTGTATTTCCTCACTGGCAGAGAACAAGACAAAGAAAAATATCCTTTATTTAGGATAAACACGGCTTAGCAAAAAACCAAAACACCAGTGTGTTATCAGTACCATTCTCATTCTGAATCCAAAACACAGCACTGTAACAGCTACTGAAGAATAAATTAAATATACCCTAACTGATACAAAGAATAAACAGGAATAAATAATGTGCTGCTTCTCTTTTTTTACAAATAATTTGAATTTTGGAGGAAACCAAAATATATTCAACATATTGAGAGAAAAGGCAAGTTTGGGACAGTCAAGGAGGGAGGGGAAGAACAAAAATGGTATTTTATTTAAAACTCTGTGGAAATTCAGAATTTAAAATTATTTCTAACTTGGAAAAATTGTGAGTGTGTTACGTCTATTGTGTAAGCCTGTAAGCTTACATGTCTATTACAGATTTAATATGGAAACCTGTGTTTTTAAACTTTTCAAGTAGCAAAGGAGCCCATGTAAGCACACTTCTATGAGAGAAACTCCATGTAGTGTGATTGGGTTTTGGGCTTTGAGCTTTATTTTACTCCTTTGCTTGTTTAGTCATACAAAACGAACTAATTGTAACCAACTGTAACCAAGAGAGGGCCTGAGTTTACTTCATTTATATGAGACACGTCTTTCTTCTAACAGGAAGCCAAAGTGGTTTTCTTACAGTAGTAGAGCCAAAGTGGAATTTCCTGTTTTGTGTGGGGCATTTCAAAGCAGCAGACATTTTAAGATGTCAGTGAGTGTTTCCTTGATGCTCAAAGATTCATCCCATTTTGGTTTGCTTCAAGCTGCAACATTATTGAATTTTTTAAAAATGGCCTTCATTCTGAATTGAAACAAAATTTGAGGTGAAAAAAAGAAAATAGAAGAAGCTCAGAGCTAAGATCATGCTGAAATTCATATCTCTGCATAGGGTAGTAGGAACTGAGTTTGCCAAAAGCTAAGCATTTCAACATTGAAAAAAAATTGTAAGGTGTTGAAAGCAGTACTACATTCCTTGAAATTTGCTATGAGGAAAGTTCCAAGACCTGTTTCCTCTGGGAAAATGAATATTTCCCTAATTTATTTCCTCTTGATAAAAATCCAAAGGGAGTGGTTTATAAGGTGTTGCAAGATGAAATATGCACGTTCACTGATAGCTCAACAACCTTGATCTATGATCTGGAAATAGTTGACTTTAGATGACTCGGCCTGTAACAGAGAAAATCCATTTCTCTGGGAAAACACTGTAGCTACCAGTGTCTGAAGCTTCTGTTCCCCATCTGATCCATATGAGGTCCATTTTGAAGATGCAGGTGAATACTATTCTATAGGGCAAATAGTTTGTGTCATCATACCATAGCTTAGGAACCACTCCCTGTGTCCTAGGTCCTTAGGACCTGCCCAAATTATTCTGACTCTTGAAGTTGCTTATGGCAGTTTTATCTTTTCCCAGCTAAAAATAGAAAGAAGATATGAAAACACCTCTCTCAGTTCCACATGAAGAAAAACTAGCACTGATCTAGCAGAGGTTAATGTGAGTCACCTTACTTACTAGTGTTTAGCAAAATAACTCACCTGATGAAAAGCCATTTGTGCATACAAATAGCAGTGCTCTTGTGCTGAGCTTTCAGGGCTGAGGTCTGGCCCAAAGGACAGAAGAATATTTGCAAGGACTTCTATCAGGCAGCGGCAGGGCTTGCAGCACCACAAAAGCACATGGAATCCAAATTCAGTACTTTATCTACTGAGTCTTTTTTTACTTCTTCACTGGTTTAAAGCTCACAGCACAATGTTGGCACTCAGCGCTGCCTTTTTATTGCTTGTTGCCTACACGTGTGAATTGATTTTCATGGAATGATACACACATCTTGCAGAATGAGAGCCTTGTGTTTGCACTTGTCAATTAAACACTGAAATGAGAGAATATTTTGCTCAGCCTTTTTTTTCCTTTTTATTTTCACTGCAGATTTTTCAGTTTGCTGCTATAAAATAAAATAAAATTATTTTTTGCTGGTGCTTTATACAAACAATTTCTGTGTGGGACTAATATTATTATTAAGTTGTATAATCTGGAACCAGGAAGAGTCAATGAATGGTTTGACTGAGGAATGCCCTCTTAAACTGCTTTTAAATTAGTTAACTCTATTTAATTGGTTATTGTAGGCACTCTTTAGGAAGATTAATCTCTTCTGACAGGTATTAAACATGACTAGATTTTTTTAAGCTCACAGAGCAGCCTGTTTCAATTAAAAGAAGATAGGTATTTTTGTTGAAAGGGTTTCAGGTTGGATATCAGGTTGGATATCTGATAGGCCATCCAGCCAGCAGTATGGTGAAGGTGTGATTCCTGGGAAATGAGCTTGTCCTAAGGAAAAAAGAATGAAAAAAAGAATGAAAAAAAGAATGAAAAAAGAATGTCCCTGTCTCTGTCCCCTTTACTCCCCCACCTCCTACATGTTCCCACTGCTTGCCTTGGGCTAATCAGCTCATCATTTGGCACCTCTGTCTGCTCAGCCAAGTCAGGCAGCAGGGAACAAGCTGGACCCTCATCTACAGGGATGACAACTAAAATTGCCTTATGGAGAGGTTCAGTGCCTGACAGAACCCTCAGAAGGGATGCAGCTGGATTCTGCAGGCAGAAGCAGAAGGAGGGAGAACTGTGTAAGTGGGAGGGAAGAGGGGGACTTTTTTCCTTCCAGAAGTAGAGCATTAGCTTGGCTCAGATTCCCATAAAGTTATACCTTTGCTTCTACCAAGCAATGATTTCTATTTTTTCTCCTTGCTAGACAGGGAGTTGTGAAGACAACCTGAGGAAACAGTTTTCATGTGATCTCAGGCTGTGCTCCTGCTTTCAGTGCCTAATGCACCGCCAAACATTTGGTTTCTGGGCCTGAAAACAAAACTGTACAAAAAATCATCCAATGGTATCTTTCTTCAGGATCCTTCCTGGCATGCTCTCTGTGGGAATGCTGACAGGAAAGGCAGTGGGGCACCATATGTCTACCCTTATGCCTGCTGTAACACCTCACTGACTTGGGCTGCCTCTTGTTTGGCTCTTGCTTTTGCTTTACACCCTCTTGTGGCGGTACAAAACACAAGCTGTTCCAACGTTTGATAAAGGTATCATTGAGTTGCTCATTATGATTTGAACATTTGGCTTTTGTCTGGTTAGAA